ATTGTTTCCAATACAGAATTGGCAAAGGAAGTGCTCAAGGAAAATGATCAACAGTTAGCTGATAGACATAGGAGTAGATCAGCTGCCAAGTTTAGCAGAGATGGTAAAGACCTCATATGGGCTGATTATGGACCTCACTATGTTAAGGTTAGAAAGGTCTGTACTCTTGAGCTTTTCTCTCCAAAAAGACTTGAAGCTTTGAGACCTATCAGAGAAGATGAGGTCACTGCCATGGTTGAATCAATTTTCAATGACAGCACCAATCCTGGTACGTTTTTTTAGTCTCTGTTTCTTTTACTTAATTAATTTTAATTGGAATTACTATTTGTTTTTCTCAAGGTTTGATTGTTTTAGGCATAACAGGGTTAGCTATGTCTCGCTAATTATGAAAATTATTACACGAATCAAATTCAATGTACAAAATCTGTGTGATTGATCGGTCAATGCCGATAATTTTAATATTATTATCAATTATGGGTATAGATCCATCTGGTCAGATTAGTTTGATCCACAAAAATTTGATTCATTACAATCACATAATTATGACATATTTATATTTACCCATCTTGTTCTAAGCTGGATTTACCTAGAATAGTTGCATTTAACATGCTAATTATTAGATGGATTATTTGGTAGGTTTAATCTTTTTTTCAATCTGGACCACATAGCGCGGCTGATGATTAAATGAATTGTTTTTTATTATATTCTTTTGCTTAATTCTTTTCGCAGTTGAATCTCAATGTAGATCGAGTTATTAAGAAAAAAGTGGATTTCTTTGGATTTTATTCTCCTTTCGGCCAGGTCAAACATGGAAAGCATAGGATGGGCATGAAAATTACTAAAAACTTAAGAATGGACTTCAAAGACAGGATTTACTTCTCATTATTAAGGAAGAAAAGAAAAAAAAAAAAAACCAGAATCGAGACTCATTAAGCAAAAAAATGGGTAAAAATAATTAGTAAGGTCTCTTAATTTTCTTTATTGCGTATAGAGAAGTCTCCTTCAGGTTGGTTTTTGAGGTCCACAAATTGCTTTGTGGTCAGTTCCTACAGGTCCCCTAATTGATGGACCACCAAATTTAGGAATCTTTTTTTTTTTCGAAAATGTATTGTAGAAAAAATTACAGCTCTTAGGTGGGTTGTTGGGAAGTCACACATGTGGTTGTGAATTTTCATCGTTAATTTAATTGTCAAACGTGTCAGCATGTTTCTGTCATGTAATTGTGGTTAGCGGGGCAGAGCACATGGAACGGTCTGTGCTTGTCAGGTTTTTGTCTCTGTGATTAGTCCATGACTGCGATCTATTCTTATTGCAAAATTGCCCATTTAAGGTCTTAAACTGCCATGTTTCTTACTCTTAATTACTTTGTTTCTGTACATTTTCATATTCCAAATAATCCGAATATGATATGATACTTACTACCTGAATCCATCCAAATGAACTGAGTATATTTTTTATGAAGAATTATTATTTTAGATTAAATATGAGGATTCAAAATTATTATCCACTAAATAATAGATAAAATATAAATATTATCAAATCCTAGCGATCCCCATCCTATATATATATTATCTTTTTATGAATATCTATATTATTGTTTTATTTTATATTAAATAATAAATAGTACTAGATAATATATATCCAAAATCTGATAGGTTGAATATAAATATCCAAATTTCTTATTTGATAAATAATAAATTAAATATAAATGCTTAAAACCCGATCTACGGCTGTATTCATCAATACGAATTGCCATCCATATTTTCACCTACTACTTCCATTTTGTGTTTCATTTTCACATGCAAATGTCAATTTGATTTAAATAGTCGGTGATGGCCCAACAACATAGGAAAAGCATTTAAGAAAATAATTCGGCCTAAGCACCGGCCTCTACCATTGAGGTGTTTCCTTTTTCTTTTCTTTTTTTTTTTTTTTAAAAAATTACTTTGCTAGGCTATACCCTAAAAGAAGAACATTAATCTGCAGAAAACACTGGAAAAACCTTGTTGGTGAAGAAATATTTGGGTGCTGTTGCATTCAACAACATTACAAGGCTAGCATTTGGGAAGCGGTTCGTGAATGCTGAAGGCGTCATGGATGAGCAAGGGCTAGAATTCAAGGCAATTGTATCCAATGGACTTAAGTTGGGTGCATCACTTGCCATGGCAGAGCACATTCCATGGCTTCGCTGGATGTTCCCATTAGAGGAAGGGGCATTTGCCAAGCATGGAGCTCGTCGCGACAGACTCACTAGAGCTATTATGGAGGAACACACAATTGCTCGCCAGCAGAGCGGCGGTGCCAAGCAGCATTTTGTTGATGCATTGCTTACATTGCAGGAGAAATATGATCTCAGTGAAGACACCATTATTGGACTCCTTTGGGTTAGTAGAATTCTACAATTTTACTATTTTCGTCCAAGGAAAATTAATGCATCTTTATTTATTCATTTTTATGATATATTATCTAAGGCATTAATCTTGAATGGCAGGACATGATCACCGCAGGCATGGACACTACTGCAATCTCAGTAGAATGGGCAATGGCAGAGCTAATCAGGAACCCAAGAGTGCAACAGAAGGCCCAGGAAGAGTTGGACCGTGTTGTTGGATTTGAACGTGTCATGACCGAGGCTGATTTCTCAAGCCTTCCTTATTTACAATGCGTAGCCAAAGAGGCACTGAGGTTGCACCCACCCACACCACTTATGCTCCCACACCGTGCCAATGCTAACGTGAAAGTTGGTGGCTATGACATTCCTAAGGGTTCAAATGTTCATGTCAATGTATGGGCCGTAGCTCGTGATCCAGCGGTCTGGAAGAACCCGTTAGAGTTCCGGCCGGAGAGGTACCTTGAGGAGGATGTTGACATGAAGGGTCATGATTTCAGGCTGCTTCCATTTGGTGCAGGAAGGAGAGTGTGCCCGGGCGCACAGCTTGGCATCAATTTGGTCACATCTATGTTGGGTCACTTACTGCACCATTTTTGTTGGACCCCTCCTGAAGGCGTGAAGGCAGAGGAAATTGACATGTCAGAAAATCCTGGACTAGTCACTTACATGAGGACTCCAGTACAAGCAGTAGCCACTCCTCGGCTGCCTTCACATTTGTACAAACGTGTTGCTGTTGATATTTAATTTGGAAATTTGCTGTTAATTTTCTGATTAGGATCTGGTTAGGCTTTGGATTGTGAACTACAAAAGAGTTGGAAAATGTCAAGGAATCTATTTGTCAAAAACGAGGACCAAATAAAGCACCATGTTTGTTAAGGTACACAAAGCTTTGTCTGTGTTTGATATGGACAATTGTAGTAGTTCTATCAGTTTGAATGCTTGGTGAGGTTTTTGGATGCACAGATGAGGACCGTTTCATATAGCTTTCTTCTAACCATCAACAAACGAAGAAAAACAAAAATCTATGGTTGTGATGGGGAAAGGCTACCAAACTAGCATTGTCCTTGGGTTGAATAAACAAAATAGCTTGGAGATGAATTAGAGAAACGTCCTGAAACCGAAGACCATGGATCGATCTGTGTAGAATAAATTATAAATTAGTCCCGCTAGTTTTAATAACTTATTTATTAATCTTTATATTTTTAAATTTATTTGTACCATATATATATTTTTAATTTTTTGTAGAAGATAGAAAAAGAAAGAAAACAAATATGGTAAGATTGACAAAAAAAGAAGACTATTTAACACATGTCAATGAATGAATTATGATTTTTTTAAAAGAGACTATTTAACTAGTTTTACAAAACTAAAGGGACTAATTTATAATTCACTCATCTACGTAGGCATTGATCCTCTTTTAAGGTTTAAGAGTCGCCATGGGTCATCATCGTCAACCAAAAAGGTTGGTCCCCTATTTATAAAAGAGTTTGCTTCTATATCTTCACTCTGTTAATTAAAGATGATTTTAAAATCACCCACGATAGATTATTTTATTTTGATATTATAACATATTTTCGAGTACAAAAATGAATTTAATTTTAATACATATATATAACTATACAAAATTTTTCTCAAAACACTTCTATCGATCAACAACATCAAATGTTTCAAAAAAAAAAAAAAAAAAAAAAACTTAAAAAGCATGAAATTTGTAATGATATAGAACTTTGAGAAAATCAATCATGACCTTTTACAAGATTAATCTTAAACGCACATAATCCCCAATTTTCAAATTTAAATATAGTTAGGACTCCAGTTATTTTTTGAAAAATCTGAAAATATAACATTAAAACTTTTTTTTTTTTTTTTTTCAAAGACTAAAGGCGAGATCCAAGTGTAATCTATAGAAGTAACATATTCTTTAGTATTAACAAATTCCAGCTTCTTCGCATGTCATGTGTAGACAACATGCATTTTGCATGGCCTGATTATGTGGTCACAAGTCCACCTAACCCCTAACCAACAGAACAGAATGAATAAAAACGAAACGGTTTAAATTGCATCACCCAACCCAGCTTTGCATTGCCAACCATCCATCATCAACAAATTAATTACTTCTATCGTCTTATTTTCCAACATGATTGTTTAGTTAAAATATTTAACCAATATATATTTTGCTAAAATACTTCTAACTAAAATTCATTTATAAGGGATGTACAATAAAAAAGAAAGTATTTTGACAAGCATGTGTTGGAAAGTATATTAATTTTCTAAAATTGCAAGGATCAATTTCGTCATTAATTAAGATAAATCACCCCCAAAATTTGTTAGAGCAATTTAAGGAATTACTTGATTTATTTTGTAATAATATGTTTGATTTATTTATTTTTTTCTTTAGGTGTCGTCCATTATAAATATATATAATTTGTGATCTCTTCAAATATCAATCACCTTACATGCGATAGGTAGTCTCTTGTGGCTTTTATATCCGTGGAGCAAGCCACTGTAATCGAACCACGTTAATCTCTTTGCATTTCTATCGCTAGAGAACCTTCAAAAAATAAACCTTAATTACCTTATCTTCATCTCTTTTTTTTTTCTTTTCCAAATGGCTCTGCCTCTGGTAATTTTAGTTTCAATTTTTGTTCTCAGTCTTCTGTACCAGAGGCAAAGGTTCAAGCTACCACCGGGTCCACGACCGTGGCCGATAGTTGGGAACCTCTGTGACATTAAGCCTAATAGGTTCAGATGTTTTGCAGAATGGGCTGAGTCTTACGGACCAATTATTTCAGTTTGGTTTGGTTCAACTTTAAACGTAGTTGTGTGTAATGCAGAATTGGCTAAGCAAGTTCTCAGAGAGAATGACCAGCAGTTGGCTGATAGACAAAGAACTAGATTGTCTGCTAGGGTTAGTAGAGATGGTAAGGATCTTATATGGGCCGACTATGGCCCTCACTATGTTAAGGTCAGGAAAGTTTCTACTCTCGAGCTTTTCTCAGCAAAGAGACTTGAGGAGCTTAGACCCATTAGAGAAGATGAGGTTACTTTCATGGTAGAAGCTATTTTCAAGGATTGCACCATTTCAGGTATATGTCATACAAGAGTATTTCTCTTACATTTTACCTTTTTCGCATCTTGTATTCATTCTCTAGATATATATTCAACAGGCAAATCGTGTTTTGTGTTTTGAGAGAAATACTCTTTCATCCTTCACAAAACACTCGTGTATATATATAGAATTTTTTAAATAAAAATTTTATCTAATATAGAAATGGAAAAAAAATTAGTTAAAATTACATTACATTTTGAAAAATCAAATGGATGTTGGACCAGAGCATGGAGGTTGTACTCCTCTAAATAGAAAATCCCCACCAATTTTATTTTATTATTTTATTATTTTATTTCTTTGAATTTTGAATCTCAAATCTCCCAATAAAAATCTCTCTCTCTCTCTCTTTTGGACTTTTACAAAGCATAGTTAAAAAATATATTTTTTTCAGCTTAAAGGTTGTCCTGAGCCAGCTTTAAAAAACATTTCTTTAAAAAATAATGTTACTTTACGTTGTATCATTTATGTCCATTACGCTCTGCCTCGAAAAGCAGTATCAATTACCACCCTCCTTGCATAAATAATTTACCAACGGTTAAGGTTCACGATTTCATGCCCGCGACCATGTTTAATTGTTGGAAACCATAAGGACAACCAAAGCCTGTTAGCTATGAGAAGACTTGTGGCTCAATATTTTGCTTTGCTTAAGGAAAATAGTCTTGAAAAATTAATTTATCGCTTGCAGAAAACCACGGAAAGAGTTTGTTGGTGAAGAAATATTTGGGAGAGGTGGCTTTCAATAATATTACAAGACTAGCATTTGGGAAGCGATTTATGAATCCTGAGGGCATAATTGATGAGCAAGGCCTAGAATTCAAGGCGATCGTTACCAATGGACTTAGGTTGGGTGCATCACTGACCATGGCGGAGCACATTCCATGGCTTCAATGGATGTTTCCACTGGAGGAAGAAGCAGTTGCCAAGCATAACGCTCGTGGAGACAGGCTGACTAGAGCTATTATGGAGGAACACAGCAATGCTCGCAAGAAAAGTGGATATGCCAAGAAACATTTTGTTGATGCATTGCTTACATTGCAAGAAAAGTATGAACTTAGTGAGGTTACAATAATGGGTCTCCTTTGGGTACGTATGGGCATTTCATTTTGTAAAGAACTTGGTGAAAGAAGTTATTACTAATTATGGCTTGATTAACCTTGTTTCAATAATTTGTGCAGGACATGATCGCTGCTGGCATGGATACAACAGCTATCTCAGTGGAGTGGACAATGGCTGAGCTAATCAAGAACCCGAAGGTTCAACAGAAGGCTCAAGAGGAACTAGACGGTGTTGTCGGGCTTGAACGGGTCATGACCGAAGCAGATTTCCCAAATCTCCCTTACCTGCAAGCTATAGTCAAGGAATCACTCAGGCTGCACCCCCCAACACCACTGATGTTACCTCATCGTGCCAATACTAATGTTAAAATCGGCGGCTATGCCATCCCTAAGGGATCTGTTGTTCACGTAAATGTATGGGCTGTGGCTCGTGATCCGGCTGTGTGGAAGAACCCTTTAGAGTTCCGGCCAGAGAGGTTCTTTGAGGAGGATGTTGACATGAAGGGTCATGATTTCAGGCTACTTCCATTCGGAGCAGGAAGAAGGGTATGCCCTGCTGCACAACTTGGTATAATTTTGGTCATGTCGATGATCGGTCATCTGCTACACCATTTTCAATGGACCTCTCCTAATGGTGTCAAGCCAGAGGAAATTGACATGTCAGAAAGACCTGGAGTGGTCACTTACATGATGACTCCATTACAAGCAGTGGCCACTCCTCGCCTGCCCTCACATTTATACAAACGTATGGCTTCGGATATGTAATTTGCCGTTTGCTGCTATGGTTGTAATTGGATTATCAGTTTTGGAACAGGGGAAGGGGGATTGTTTAGATGGGGTTGGGTTCCAATGCAAAAACGTTTATCACCAAGTCTGAAATAAATAAAGTTTTTATTATGCCAATCAATTGACACAAAATGACATTTAGCTGCATTTAATAAACAGTCGATATTGTATATGTGTTGTCAACTCAAGCGTTTGTATATACAGTATACAAATATGATTAAGGAGGCAACTCATAAAAGCCACATCTATATCATGAAGCATCGATATATACATATTCACACATAAAGCATAGTTGCCAGAGTGGTGTGTTTATTGTTCTATACCATACTGTCAGCACCAAATCACACAAGGTTTTAGCATATTATGGCATCAAATTCACATAAAACTTTCCTTCAACGTTCTTGATCGCTTCAACCTTGAAATTCTCCTCTTTGATTCCCCTCCTCAACTTCAGAAACAGATTGAATCTGGCGTAATCTTCAATGACCTGCATCACCAAACCATGGAAAAAATCAGTTGGAAAACTTCCACATTTGCATACCAAAGCGTGCACATATGGGAAAGATCAATCCAAGTAGAGACAATGAAGGCTAAAGTTGCGAGACACAATACAGTAAAATGCCAACCTATGAGGATCTTTAAAAGAGTGTTTGATAACTTATTTAAGTAGCTTAAAAAATATCGGGCATAGAAATCGATAAAATCACTCCGAAGCCCTCTAACGGCTTTGTCACATAAGTAGGAAGCCACCGACGGCTTCATTTTGATGAAAATCAATCATGGATAGACAATTAAATCACAAGACTTCACATTTGGACAACTAAGCATGCAAATCAAAAAGCAACTTAATTTATCTTTTGATATCGGCTACGTACGGTAATGTTTATTTCAATCACATTTAGACTATGGCTATTCAAAAAAAATATAATGACTTCATTGACGCAAACCAATAGTCCAATCATTTTTAATCATTTGCCTTTTTTTTTTTTTTATAGAAAATATGCAATGATTTTGGAGTTTTACCCAAGAGCTCGAAATTTCGATGTTCGAAACAAAATCGGTTGTACTCACTTCGGTCCCAATGAAAACCGATTGTTCGGTTGGCTGGGAAAGAAGAGTAATTGTCTAAAATTTCCTCTGTTACTTGTGCAACTACTCCAAATGTTGCTGAAAAATTTGCAGAGGTTCCCGAAATCTTACAAGATTTCCTAAAAAATCCAAAATGACTTTCTTGTTGTATTTTCCTGTCAAAACCTAAAGAAATGTAGTCTACAACATCATGTTGTTCTTGCCAATATAATCCAACACAAAAAAAAAAAAAAAATCTTAATCCCATTAAATGTTTTTGCTCTTATTTCTTCTTTTTCAAGAGCTCCAAAAAGTGAGCAATGGGCTGTTTTGAAGCAGGTTTTGTGGCTGTCTTGAGGTTGTTTTGGGGCATTTTTTGCACTATTTTGAAGCTTTTTTGGAGGTCTTTTTAAAGATGGTTTGGTGGTTTAAATAGGCTATCCAAAAGGGCTTCTCTGCAAGTGTATTTGGGGGCCGTTGGTGGCTATTTCAGGGTTGTAAAAGCTACTGTTTATGGCTGTTTTAGGTCTGATTTTTGGAAATTTTTGGGACGTTTTTTGGGGCTTTCTTAGGGTTATATTAAAGCTGGATTAGAGGTGTTTTAGTGCTGTTTTTTTGGTTTAAATGGGCTACTCGAAGGGGTTTCTCCGCAAGGGTTTTTAGGGTTGTTGGTAATGGTTGCGGGGTTAATTTTGGATGGTTTTTTTATGGGTTTTTCAGGTCTGTTTTGGGGCTGGTTTTTGGGCTAATTTTGGGGGGTTTTATGTTTGGTTTATAGCTGCTTTAAGGGCTAGTTTTTGGGCTTTGAAGGAGGCTAGAGTTTGGGTGAGAGGGAGGACCAATGCATGAGCTAAAAGGATGGGTGTGGGGTTGTGTTTAGGAGGGTCAGTTGGGCGTGTTTTGTAGGAGGGCTGGATGTTGAGGTGTGAGGCGAGAGAAAGGTTGCATGTTGGATGGCTTGGCGTGGAGAGGAGCTGCGGGTGAACTATGGGCGAGAGAGAGCGAGCCGTAGAGGCCGGTGCAATGTGTGGCTTGGGTGAGAGGGTCGTGGGTAGTGACGTTGGGCGTGGGTGGGGGCTGTGTTAACATGGTAGGCGGTTGGAGTAGAGGGGTGTGTGGAGGGCTGTTATGGGCGAGCAGTAAAGGCTGGCGAGTGGCATGAGAGGTTGGAATACGGGAGCTTGCGGATGAGAGGAGGCTAACGGGCCGATGGTCGACGAGAATGAGGAGGCCGATGGCGTGCTTGGGGCCGTGTGCGTGTGTGTGGTGTGGGAACTTTTCCGCACTTTTCTCTTGTCCGGCGGCTTCCTCCTCCTTTTTCTTGTGAGGATGAATAATGTTAGGTATAAAAAAAATGCATGGGTGGGCTAAATATCGGTTTGGTCCTTGGTTTCTTCTCATGCATTAATTTGAGGTCGATTTTGTTTTTTTTTTTTGTTTTAATTTGAGCCCCCCTTGTAACTAATTGAGACTTTTATTTTAATTTGTCCCAATCGTGCCCTCTTATTGTTTTAATTGAAGGACAAAAGTTTTGATTTTTTTTATTGGACCTCAATTGCACTTTTTATCACCTCTAAACTTTTCACTTCTTCAATTAAACCCCTCCATCTTTCTTTTTTTTTTTTTAATTAACCTAAACTAATTATTCCAACTGATTTTTTTTTCATTTTTCGATTTTCTCTTTTTCCATTTTTTGTTTCCATTTTTGTTTTTACCCTTTTTTTCCGTATTTTTCGTACTAACAAAAACAAATAAATAATTAAAAGGGAGCAAAATTTAGGTGTTAATAGTTGCCCCTTCTTTATAATGCTTACGACACAAAGTCATTGAAAATGTTTTCTTTGACTTTATATAGTAAGCTTTGTAAAGAAATAGTGAAAAGATTTGGAAGACATGATCGACCATATCGAATGAAACATGACCGACCATGTTGATTTAAAAGTATGCGACCGACCATGTTAACTTTGTAAGACATGATCTGGCCATATCAAAAGAGAACGTGATCGACCACGTTAATTTGAGAGAGTGCATCCGATCGCCTCAACTTTATACGAAATGATTGGCCATGTCAAAAAGAATATGATCGACCATTATGATTTGAACGGACACAAATGATCGCTCAAAATTAGTAAGACATGACCGATCATGTCAAAAGAGAATATGATCGACCACAATAATTTGAACGGATGTGATCGATCGCTTCGATTTTGTGAGACATAACTAACCATGTCAAGAGAACGTGATCGACCATGATAACTTGAATGGATGGACTGACCGCTCCGAATTGGTAAGGCATGATCGACCATGTCAAAAGAGAATGTGATCGACCACGTTAATTTGAACGGATGTGATTGATCGCTTCGATTTTGTGAGACATGACTAACCATGTCAAAAAGGAACATGATCGACCATGATAACTTGAACGGATGCGACCGATCGCTCTCGAATTGGTAAGACATGACCGACCATGTCAAAAGAGAACGTGACTAACCATGTTAATTTGAACGGATGCGATCGACCGCTCCGATTTTATGAGACATGATTGACCATGTCAAAAACGAACGTGATTGACCACGTTAATTTGAAGGAATGCGATTGACCACGTTGATTTGAAGGAATGTGATCGACCATATTAATATTGCGGGGACATGATCGACCATGTCAAGTGAATGTGACGGACTACATTCATTTGAAGGGATGTGATCGACCACGTTCATTTGAAGGGATGTGACCGGCCGCATCGATTCCGCGGGGACATGACCGACCATGTCAACTTAGTAAGAAAACGTTACCGATCACGTTGATTTGGAAGGACACGACCGATCGTGTTGACCTAAAAGGAAATGATTGGCTAAATTAATTCTTAACTTTCCTTCTCCTTTTTTAATTTTTGGCAAAATAGAATTAACTATCTAGGTTTATCTTTATTGAAGTAATATTGGACAAGATAGAATTGGTTTCTTATGGGCGGGACAACTAGGTGGAACTATGAGGTTGTTGTTTGATATGCATTCCCGACTCATAAATTGCGCATCTCATTGTTAGAAATATAAGCCCCGACTATTCAAACCATACTTCCTCTTCTTGCTCGGTGACACCTTTGTCATCTACAATTGAAATGCAAGGCTTATTGCCCCTTTCTCTTTTTTTTTTTTTTTTTTGATCGTCTATTCG